TTTCATGCACTTATTTGCCATCAACATAAGTTCAAGGATATACCTGCCTAAGATTTTTTTCTCATGTTTTATTAGGTCATTTGTATTATTATTGAGTTTTGAGTGTTTTAAAATATATTCCAGGTGTATATTATTTATCAGAAAAAGATTTACAAATATTTTCTCAAAGTTTGTGACTCTCTTAAAAGCATATTGTGTAAAAAACAGTGTGCATGTGTCTTTATAGCAGCATAATTTATAATCCTTTGGGTATATACCCAGTAATGGGATGGCTGGGTCATATGGTACATCTAGTTCTAGATCCTTGAGGAATCGCCATACTGTTTTCCATAATGGTTGAACTAGTTTACAATCCCACCAACAGTGTAAAAGTGTTCCTATTTCTCCACATCCTCTCCAGCACCTGTTGTTTCCTGACTTTTTAATGATTGCCATTCTAACTGGTGTGAGATGGTATCTCATTGTGGTTTTGAGAACAATGAGATCACTCGGACTCAGGAAGGGGAACATCACACACCGGGGCCTATCATGGGGAGGGGGGAGGGGGGAGGGGGAGGGATTGCATTGGGAGTTATACCTGATGTAAATGACGAGTTGATGGGTGCAGCACACCAACAAGGCACAAGTATACATATGTAACAAACCTGCACGTTATGCACATGTACCCTACAACTTAAAGTATAATAATAATAAATAAATTAAAAAAAAAAAAACAATGGTTCAATTTTGATTACTCCCAACTTAACAATTTGTGTTTTTACGGGATGTACTTTGGATTAATAACTACAAAAATAAATCCTGCCTCAATGCTACAATGGTTTTCTCCAAAGTTTACTTCTAGAAGTTTTATAAGCTTAGACTTTACATTCAGGTGATTGATTCACTCTGAAGTAGTATTAGTATGTCATGTAAGGTATAGATCAAAGCTCCTTTTCTTTTCTAATGAGGATTTGAAATTGTCCCAGCACAATTTGTTAAAAAGATTTTACTTTCTCTACTTCATTGCAATATTGTTGAAAAATAGTTGTTTATTTTTGTTTGCATTTATTTCTGGACACATTTTATATTATATTATATTACATTATATTATATTACATTATATTACATCATATTATATTATTATTTTATCTATGTTTTTGATAGCACAATGTCTTGATGATTATAGTATTTTTATATCTCTTAAAATCAAACGATGTTGGTGTAATAGCTTTGTTTTTATTTTCCAAAGGTGGTTTGTTTATCCTGGATTTTTAAAATTTCCACATGAATTTTAATAACAGTTTGTCAATTTTTTTTAAAAAGTCTGCTGGGATTCTCATATGTCAATTAGAGTAGATAAATATTGAATTTTGTGACACATATATTTAAATGTTTAAAAATTACTCATAGCAATGTTTTGTATACAGGGCTTTTACTACTTTTGTTAGACTGATACATAAATATTTCATGATTTTGGTGATTTTATAAATTTTTTAAATTAGAAATTCTGATTTTTTATAAAGAAATATAATTATTTTATATTTATCTTATTTCCTGAAACTCTGCTAAAAAGATTAGTTATGATTAGTTCTAGGAGATTTTTATTTTATTTTATTTTATTTTTTGGTAGATTCTAGTGCACTTTTTTGTAAGCCATCATGTCATCTGCAGATAGATGCTTTTGTACTTTCTTTTCAAATATAGATAACTACTTTTTTTCTCTATATTGCCCTGCCTAGTACCTTTATGGAAATGTTGACTTAAAGTAGATTGTGTGGACATTCTTTTATTTTTTCTAAACTGAAGTCATTAAGGCCTTTAGTCTTTTACCATTTAGTAATGATATTACTTGTAGTTTTTTTTTATAGCTTTCCCTCTGTCAGTTTGAGGAAGTTCTGTTCTACCATTACTTTGTTTAAAGCATTCAACAGATATGAATTTTGAATATTGCCAAATGTTTTTTGATATTTCAACTTAGGTTTTTATGTGGTTAATTACACCAACTGATTTTCTAATGTTAAACCAACCTTGTATTCCTGGATTAAACTTCAGTTGATCATGTTGTATTATCTGATTTGCATTGATCATGTTGTATTGTTTGATTTGTTAAAACATTTAATAATATTTACATAAGTCTTTTATCTGGCTCCTTTTAAAAGTTTTAAAAGTTTGTTCTTTTTTATCTTTAATTTGCAAAATTTTAATTATGATGTGTCTTAGTGTAGATTTATTTGACAAGATCCTTTCGAGGTTTGTTAAGTTTCTTAAATCTATGGGCTCATATCTGTCATCCAATTTGAGAAATTTTCAGACATTATATGTTTAAATACTCTTTCAGTCCCTCTTCTTTCTCCTCTCTTCTGTGACTCATATGATATGCATTTTATATATTTTATTACTATCCTTCAGGTTATTTTTTCTTTCTTTCTTTTTCTTTCTTTTTTTTTTTTTGGTCTATATAGTCTTTATTGTTCAGATTAGGTGAATTATATTATTCTGTCCTCATTTTTGTTACTTCTACTCTCTTTCATTCCTACTCTGTTATTGAACTATCCCCAAGTGTTTTTAAAATTTATGAAAAAATATTTGTGTAATATCTATTTGGATATTACAACATAACTTATTTTTTTGCTGAGATTTTATAATTTTTCACTTGAATCAAAAAAACTTGTAATTTCTTATGGCATCATTTTTGTTGATTGCTTCAAAATCCTTGTCAGAGAGTTCCAATATGTGATTTATCTCATTGGTATTAGTAGATTACTTCTTCCCTTTAAAATTGTGATTTTTCTGGTTCTCAATATGATATATAAGTTTTACTATATCCTGGTCATTTTGTTTATTATGTTAGGTGACTGCCTCTTACTTGAGATTTCTTTTTTTAAGCAGAAATTTACTATTTAGCTCACGGGTTTATGGACCATGATTCCACTTACGACATATGTTTTAGAGCCGTTTGGTGCTGCTTTTTCTGACTGATTTATCTCGTATCAATGGGCACCCACTGTTCCCTGCTGGGATAGTCTGAAGGGATGGAAAAAGTTTTCCCAGGTCAGTGCTGGTTATGGAGGGTTCCTCCCTGCTGTAGAGGAGGTAGGATAATGGGGACTTTGGAGCAAGTCTATCTTTGCTGGTACTCTCTGCTAGGACGGTGTCTCTAGGCGGGGGAGGGTAGTCTCAGGATCTTCACAAAGCAGCCTCTTTCACTGGGCACGTATGAGGAGGTACCGCTGCCAGTGTTCCCGGTTACACAGTGCCTCCGAGTGGGGCAGAGTATTCTCACACCCAGGGAGAAGGCTAGCACTTCTGCTGGCTTCCAGTTGTCACCACTCACTGATGTTTGTGGTCCTGCCTGGTATTAGTGGGGATCTCTTACAATCCAGAGGTAGTGTGAGCCTATCTAGCATGCTGTCTGTTTTAATGATGGGGCGGAGAAAATGCCCGGCCTGTTTGGTGTTCCTCTGTTTGGTGGAGCAGGTAATGTATCCGGTCTCTGTGCTGTTCAGTGCTGTCCTGAGACCCGTAATCAGGTTTCCCTTCTCTTTCCGTCTTTCAGAGTTCTTAATTTGGTTGTCTCTTCTCTTCAGTGTTTACGGTTGTACTTCTTGGGGAGGAGCAGAGAGAGATGAGCTTGTCCGTTTAAAAAAAAAATATGTATGTATGTATGTATGTATGTATGTATGTATGTATGTATTGACGGAGTTTCGCTCTTGCTGCCCAGGGTGGAGTGCAGAGGTGTGGTGTCGGCTCATTGCAACCTCTGCCTCCCAGGTTCAAACGATTCTTCTGCCTCAGCCTCCCGAGTAGCTGGGATTACAGATGCCTGCCACCAAAACCGGCTAATTTTTTTTTTTTTTTTTTTTTTTTTTTTCGTATTTTTAGTAGAGACAGAGGTTTTACCATTTTGGCTAGCCTGGTCTCGAATTGCAGACCTCAGGTGATCCACCTGCCTCGGTCTCCCAAAGTATTGGGATTACAGGCACCAGCCATCACACCCAGCCATCTGTGCCATCTTGTCAGGATCAGAAGTCATTGTAAATTGGCTTTAAGTAGCCAATTATTTAATGATTTGTGGTTGAACAATTTTTCAGTGTATTTAACAAGATATATTTCCATGTTTATGAACTGTTTTTTCACTGATTATTCTTGTCTTCTTATTTTACATGACCATTTAAAATCATAAATATATTAATATCTTTTTCAGATGTATTTGGTATAAATAGCTCTTCAGCTTCTTTGTTCTTTTAGTTTTTTAAACAATTTTTAAGTTTTTACAATGCTTATATTTTTAGATATGATTTTTGGAGACATTGAAATTATTTTAACTGGAAAAACTAGACTTACTTATTCTATAATTTAAAAAATGTTGAGAGTCATTGATAATAACAGACTTCAACATTATATAACAACCGATGCTATTGATAATAACAGGTTTGCAGGGAAAAGAAAATATTAAGTAGAAGATGTAATGCCAATTTTTTTTTTTTTTTGCTAGAGTGAATTGGTTCAATTTGATTTAATCTGAATTAGTACTCTGGTCAACATTGGCAGAATCAGATTTTTATGCTTTTAGAATAATTTTCTCTTATATCTTAGCCAATTTTATGTTGCATAATGGATGCTCCAAAGCTTATTCAATTTATTGGTGCATAATAGATGTTCAACAATTATTAATATTTACTAATAAATACAGTGTCCTGAACATTATATCTGTCTTTCTGTGGACTTCATGATTCGTCATATTGCCTAATATAGACTATAAATTCAAGAAGATCTCAATAAGTATGAATGGAAGATGCACATTGTATATAAACAGGGGATCACAAATTGTGACAAGAGGATGCACATTAATGACTCTTACTGAAATGATAAATAATTACCTCCCTCTATCTTTTATAAAATGCTTCTGACCACTAGGGAAAAATGGAAGGTGGAAAAAACAACCAATAATTTAAAGGCTTTGTCATCATATAAAATGATAAACGTAATGATAGTTTTATTCTTTTTATTCTTTTTTTTAGGTTCAGGTTCTTCGGAATGCTGGAGAAGAAGTGACTCTAACAGTGTCATTTTTAAAAAGAGCACCTGCTTTCCTCAAACTCCCATTGAATGAAGATTGTGCATGTAAGCATTTAGAAAGAATAGATAAAAGTGCTCACATCATTATAGCTACATAATTATTATTTTGACAATAATTGGTGATTTCTTCTTAAAGTTGAAATTTTTTCGTGACTGTAAATATCTTTATATTACAAAGTGTTCTACTAACCCTTATGAAAAGGAAACAGATTTTTTTTCTTCAAGTATAGAATCACCACATTATAGTTTTTTTTCTAACATACAATTGCAGAAGTATTACTTGTTTTTAAAATAAGCATCATATCAAATATCATGTATGCATTATGCATATCTATTAAATTTCATCAGAATACTTGGTGAATGTATTTTCTCTAACTAAAAATTACTATTAAGCAAGAATGTGTGCTTAGGTTAATCTGATGAGAGAATATAAGAAAAGCGTTTGCCTTTGTGGGAATGTACTAATTTACACAGAACTACTTAAAAAGTTATTTGTCAACTTTATTTTCTGGATGCATTTTCTAAAATGAAATGTATATTATCTAATACTTTTGCTGAAAAATTGAAGAATAATATATTTTTCACTGAGACATAATTTGTATGCAATAAAATGCAAATATCTTGCACAGTCGGAGCAGTTCTGAAAAGGCACACATTTGCTTAATCCACTTCCTGCAATCATAAAACTGTTCCCAGTAAATAACAGCCCAGAAATGACTACTCACTTACACTCTCTTCTTCATACATTATTTCACTTCTAGAACTTTATAGAATGGAATTCTACTTTTTTAATTTTTTATTCTGGCTTCTTTCTTTATGAATAATTTCCTTCAGATTCACTTATGCTACATATTTCTTAGTTTGTTCATTTATATTGCTGTTTATTATTTCATTGTATGAATGTATTACATTTATTAATGCATCTTTCTGTTGAAGATACCAGCACTGTTTCCAGTATTTTGCTATAATAAATAAAGCTGCTGGACACATTACTTATATTTTAAGTTCAGAGGTACAAGTGCACGGTTGTTACATAGGTAAACTTGTGTCATGGGGGTTCATTGTACACAAACCAGTTATTAAGCTTAGTGACCATTAGTTACTTATCCTGATCTTGTCCCTCCTCCAACCCTACATCCCACCGAAAGGCCACAGTGTGTGTGGTTCCCCTCTATTTGTCTATGTGTTCTCATCATATTGCTCTCACTTATAAGTGAGAATGTGAAGTATTTGATTTTCTGTTCCTGTGTTAGTTTGCTAAGGATAATGGCCTCCAGCTCCATCCATTCATGTCCCTGCAGTGGACATGATCTCATTCTTTTATTATGGTGGCATAGTATTTCATGGTGTATATGTACATTTTTGTTATCCATTATATCACTGAAGGGCATTTAGGTTGATTCCATGTCTTTACTATTGTGAATAGTGCTGCAATGAACGTACGCATGCATGTGTCTTTATAATAGAATGATTTATATATTTCAAGTATATACCATTTGACCCAGCAATCCCATCACTGGAAGCTTCTTGTATAAGGGTTTTGGCAGTTTTATAATTTTATTTTAGTACAATAAATACCTAAGAATGGAATTGCTGAGTGACTATATAGATGTATAATTAACTTGTTAATAAATTGCCAAATTTAGAGGGGTGCAGCGGCCCATGTCTATAATCCCAACATTTTGAGAAGCCGAGGCTGGCAGATCATCTAAGCTCAGGAGCTCAAGACCAACCTGAACAACATGTTAAAATGCCGCCTCTACCAAAAATAAAAATAAAAATAAAATAAAATTCACCAGGCATGGTGGCATGTGCCTGTGGTTCCAGCTACTTGGGAGGCTGAGGTGGGAGGATGGCTTGAGCCTGGTAGGCTGAGGATGCAGTGAACTGAGATCATGCCACTGTACTCCAGCCTGGGTGACAGAGTGAGACCCGGTTTCAAAAATAAATAAATAAATATAAATAAATTGCGAAATTTATTTCCAAAGTGAGCATATTTTTTATTGTGGGAAATAACACATAACTTAAAATTTACCATCTTTACCATTTTAAGTGTTCAGAAGAGTAGTCTTAAGTCTATGTACGTTAGTGTGTAACATATCTCTAGAAACTTTTGATATTGCAAAATGGAAATTCTATACCCCTTAAACTATTCCCTGTTTTCCTCAGAGTCACCCCCTGGCAAACACCATTGTACTTTATGTTTATAAGAATTTGACCACTTTAGTCACATTGTGCACTTGGAATAATCCAGTATTGTTCTTTCTATGATTAGCTTATTTCACTTAGCATAATGTTCTTAAGACTCATCTGTGTTGTAGAATATGACAAAATTTCATTCCTATGTGAGATTGAATAACATTCCTTTGTATGCATATACCACATTTTCTTTATTCAACCTTTATTCAAACCTTGAACAGTGAGCATTTAGGTTGGTTATTCTTTGTTATTGTGAATAATGCTGCAATGAACATGAGTGTACAAATACCTTTCACAACTCTGCTTTCAGTTATTTTTGATAAACACTCAGAAGTGGGATTCCTGGATCATATGATAATTCTATTTTTAGTTTTTTGAAGAATGACCATACTGTTTTCCATAGCAGGTACATCATTTTACACTCTAAGTAACAGGCAAAGGTTCCAATTTCTGCATATCCTCACCAGCACTTCTTATTTTCTGTTTTTTACTTCGTTTTGTTTTGGTTTTGGTAGTGGCCATTCTAATGGTTGTCAGATGATAACTCACTGTGGTTTTGATTTGAATTTCCCTGATAATCGGTAATGCTAAGCGTCTTTTCTCATATTTATTGACCATTTGCATATTTTCTTTGAAGACATGTCTATTCAAGTCTTCCATCCAGTTTTAAATCTGGTTATTTATTTTGCTGTTGTTGAGTTGTAAGAATTATTTAGATACTCTGGCTATTAACGTATTATCAGACATATGGTTTGAAAATATTTGTTCCCATTTCAAAAGTTGCTGTTTCACTCTGTTGATCATTTTATTTATTTTACACAAATTTTAATTCTTCTGTAGTCAAGTCTATTTTTGCTTCTAATGCCTGTGTTTTTGGTGTCCTATTCAGGAAATAATTGCCAAATCCAGAGTCATAAAGAGTTTTCTCTAAGTTTTCTGCTAGGATTTTTTACAGTTCAAGTCTAATGTTTAGGAATTTAATTTGTTTTGAGTCAATTTCTACACATAATATCAGATAAGTGCCCAACATTCTTTTGCATGAGGATATCCAGTTTTTCCAATACAATTAATTGAAGAGAAGATTATTCTTTCCCTATTGTATAACCTTAACAAGTTTGTTTAAAATAATTTCATCACATATTGAGGGTTAATTTTAGGATTATTCTGTTTCATTTTTCTGTGTGTCTGAATTAATGCCAGTACCACGTTGTTTTGATTACTGCAGCTTTGTAGTATATCTTGAGTTCAGAAAGTGTAAAGCCCCAGCTCTGTTTTTCTTTCTCCAGAATTTTTTGACTATTCAGAATTAGTTGAGGTTCTATATGAATTTTAGGATAGATTTTCTATTTCTGCAACATAATACCATTGAGATTTTGATAGGGATTGCATTGAACCTATAGATTGCATTGCTTAGTATGGACATTTTAACAACATTAATTCTTCCAATACATTAGCATGGAATGTCTTTCCCTTTATTTGTTTCATCTTTAATTTCTCAATGATGTTTTCTAGTTTTCAGTGTAAAGACTTTTAACTTTTTGGGTTAGATTATTCCTGATTATTCTTTTTGATGCTATTATAAGTAAAATTGTTTTCCTTTTTTATTGTTAATGGATAGAAACAACTGATTTTTTATGTTGTCTATTCTGCAACTCCCTTAGACTTGTTTATTAGTTTTAACATTTTTGTGTGTGTTTAAACTTTAGAGTTCTCTACACGCAAGCTCATATCTGCAAACAAAGATAATTTTACTTCTTCTTTTGATTTTGGGTGACTTTTATTTCTTAGTCTTGCCTAATTGCTCTGGCTATAACTTTTGGTTGCATGTTGAATAGAGGACTTGAGAGTGGGCATCCTTGCCTTATTCCTAATCTTAGAGGAAAAGCTTTCAGTTTTCCATCATTCAGTCTAGGGTTAGCTGTGGGCTTTTTATATATGAATTACCTTTATTATGTTGAGATAATTTCCTTCTGTTCCTAGTTTGTAAAATGTATTATATTTTAAATTGTGAAAACGTATTGAATTTGGCAAATGCTTTTTTCTTCATCAATTGAGGTGACTATATGGGATTTTTTTTTTTTTCTGCCATTCTGTTACTGTGGTGTGTTAATTACATGGATAGATTTTTTTTCATGTTGAACCATCCTTGCATTTCAGGAGTAAGTCACAATTGATCATGGTGTATAATCTTTTAAATTGGTAGTTGAATTCAGTTTTTTAGTATCTTTTTGAGAACTTTTGCATTCATGTTCATCAGGAGTACTGGTTTGTAGTTTAATTTTTTTGTAGTATCTTTGTCTGGTTTTCATATCTGGGTAATGTTCACCTCAAATTGGAAACTGCTTTCCCCTCATCACATTTTTTTTAAAGAATATGAGAAGGATCAGTGCTAATTCTTCTTTAAATGCTTGGTAAAGCTCTACAGGAAAACCATCTGGTTGTGGACTCTTCCTTTATGTGAAGAATTTATTAATGATTCAATTTCCTTACTAGTTCTATGTCTGTCTGTATTTTTTGTTTTTCCATAATTGATTGTTGGTATGTCACGTATTTCTAGAATTTTATCTATTTTTTCTAGATTATTCAGTTTGTTGGCACATAATTGTCCACATTACTCTCTAACAATCCTTTTGGTTTTTGTGGCATCAGTTGTCATGTCTACTCTTTCATTTCTAATTTTTATTTACATTTTTTTACTTTTTGGATTAGCCTAGTCAAAGTTTTGTCATTATTGTTGATCTTTTCAATAAACCAAGTATTTGCTTAGTTGATTTTCTATATTGTCTTTCCATTTTATTTATTTCTGCTCTAATCTTTATAATTACTCTCCTTCTGCTACCTTGGGT